TCTCTTCCTGAGAGTAATCCCCAAGGTAAGGAAAATCTTGGAAGACATAATGGCCTTGAACCTAACCTAAAAACATAGTGACCGAGAGATACATAAGATACACTCTGTTTTCCCCGCTGGGTCGCCCCCCCCCCTCTGCCCCTCTATCTCTCAAACAAACTGGTATAAACGAATTTCAATAGTTGCAATGGAAAGTCTCCCGGGGTTGAATGGTTGAAGTGACAGAGATAAAAGTCTGTATTGACGGTGGCACGACTGAAGCCTCACAGCTGTAGCGGGTTCGATCAGGCCATACACAATGCAACATAGGTGGCGACGAGGGTTGCTAACGAAGCTATTCAATTGACGAAACTTGGGTAATAAGGACGCACACAGCATCTCACACAAATATAATGGCTCACAATTATATATAGACATAATCACAAACAAGTGATTATGCACAAACACACACGCATAATGCAGACAAACACACAAACACACAAACAAACAAACAATCCGAACCATAAACCTACAGAAAATTCCCGAGGAAAAGACAAACGTTTGGCGGGAAAGTCAAACAATAACCGTCCCAATGTGGCGTCATTCACGACCTTGGCCTGGGTGGTCGAGGGAGGAAAATACGGCCGAAAGTGCTAATGGGCCAGTCGGAATTGGTCTCCCTGGGACTCTAGGCGAATGGGGGGGGGGGGGGAGGAAATTCCTATATTCTACAAGGTCTCCTCATCGGATTATGTCGACTGACTCAGGTAGCCTCCGAGTTAGTGAAAAAAAACATTGTTTGTTTGTTTTCGAGTCTTAGTCTTTGCTGTAGGAAGGGAGAGAGAGAGAGAGAGAGAGAGAGAGAGAGAGAGAGAGAGAGAGAGAGAGAGAGAGAGAGAGAGAGAGAGAGCAGAGGAAAGGAGAAAAGTGGAGTGAGTGAGTGAGGGAGGGAGAGCGAAAGAGCGAGAGCGAGAGAGAGAGAGAGAGAGAGAGAGAGAGAGAGAGAGAGAGAGAGAGAGAGAGAGAGAGAGAGAGAGAGAGAGAGAGAGAGAGAGAGAGAGAGAGAGACTGGCAGACAAACAGATACAGACAAGCAGACAGACAGACAAGAAACATCCAGACAAAAATAAACAAAAGGTAAATACAGCGAACCCCAAACTTAATCGAAAAACATTTAAAAATCGAAACACGAAACACAGACAAAGACGAAACTTCGCGAGACAGAGAAAAAAATTCGACAGACTTAAGACTAATGCATGGCTGCATCATGCACGAGAAGGCAAAATGACCCTAAGTCCGCGTCAGCTCCAGAGTCCCATATTGTGCGTGTCATTTTCCAAAACCAACGTTTCACGAACTGCAAAATTTGGATTTCTTAACGTGTTTCGTTATTAATTATATATTAGGAAAATGTCATGGACGGTATAGTTGTGACGTCAGTTTTATATTCCAATATGGTAATTATTTCGTTTTGTTTACCTCGGAGGACAAATCAAAGAAAAATAATCATCGTATAATGCAAAAGGATAAAAATCCTTTATCTTATCGGATTATAAAAGGGAAAAGGTAGTATCCGGTAGAGATAGAGAGAGAGAGAGAGAGAGAGAGAGAGAGAGAGAGAGAGAGAGAGAGAGAGAGAGAGAGAGAGAGAGAGAAAGAGAGAGAGAGAGAGAGAGAGAGGGAGAGAGAGGGAGTGAGAGGGAGAGAGAGAGAGGGAGGGAGGAGAGAGAGAGAGAGAGAGAGAGAGAGAGAGAGAGAGAGAGAGAGAGAGAGAGAGAGAGAGAGAGAGAGAGAGAGAGAGAGAGAGAGAGAGAAAGAGAGAGAAGAGAGAGAGAGAGAGAGAGAGAGAGAGAGTGAGAGAGAGAGAGAGAGAGAGAGAGAGAGAGAGAGAGAGAGAGAGAGAATGAGAAGTAATAAGGAACGAATGGAGAGCAGATAGATAAACAGAAAGAGAGGGGAAAACGAAGGAAACTAAAACGACAGAAAAAGAGAGATGTCAGAGAGAAAGAAAGAAGTCCACGTATTAAAGAAGAATGATATGTAAAGAAGAAACGACAAAAGAGAATATTGGTTAAAACAAGAAAAAAAAATCAAATGCTTGACGTCATGCGAGTCATGTAACTCAACATGCGTGACTGTTGCATGAATAATTATGTATTTTCCTTAATCTTTCTTTAGAGCAAACGTCTGTCGTACCCTTTTTTCATGATTTAATTCTACTCTGTTTATCATCGATTATTTGTCTCCACGTGTATTCGCAGCTGCTAACCTTACGCTACGCTGTGACCTTGACTTTTATAACCATCAACATTTAAATATATTAAAATACTAAAATGTTTCATATCCTGGCATACAGTGCTTTTGAAAATACGTTAAATACCACGAAGTCTAAATTATACAGACCCTCCCGTTACTGTTAGTTTATTCAAAACGTTAAACGAATTACAAATATTGAAAAAAATATATATATGCATAATGCTTTCCGAAGTTTAAGGTCATTAGCTCCTAGGTGAGAGCCAGGTGCAGAGGGTCAATAAACTCGGACATTATCACAGAATTAAACACTATAAACGATATGGCTGAGATCGAACAGATATCCATTTTTTTACAATGCCCATCAGCTTCATGTTTTTTTTACAGGACATTGTCCCTACGGGTTAAACTCATCTTATTTCAGTAGATAAAACCGTTTTAATGTTTTATCTGTCAGTATCCTTATCTATAATCACATGATAGCTTTGGGGGTTTTTGAAATCGATTCGAATCTTATAAAAAAGCGATAATGTGTTGTTGGATTCTATAGGTCTCACAAATGTGATTTGAAACGGAAAGTCAAGTCCAACTTTTTTTTCTAATATTTTAGGTTCATGTTAAGTGACTTTATATGGAATAAATGTACTGAAAACGTTTTCAGATATTTCTGCTTAAGCGAGGTTTCTCAGAAGATATATGTCTTGGTTTTATTTTCGTGAAAATGTTCGCTAAATTCCAATGTAACCTCTCCTTTTCTAATATGATTTCAACTGATGAAAAGTTCGTTTATTTAGGCCATTAATTGTAGGCAGAAATTATTGACATCTACAAACTTTAGTTTAACCATTACTACCTATGGAATGTGCACTGAGGTCGAGAGTGAAAATGTCATTATACTTTTGTTTTCCACGGAGGTAAAATGAGTATCGTGGTTATAGAATGAGGCCAAGACAGCGGTAATTGCAAGATATTCTGGCGGTACCACTTACTGACTTCGGTGAAAAGGTTGCAATGTGCACTAGGCCATGTTTCATAAAACAAGGCTGATATTTGTATTTCATTCCCAACAATGCTCAAATAAATATAACCAATATACGACAAAGTTTTGTAAAAAAATATCTACATTTATGCTTGTCTCCAACTTTGCCCCAGAAATTACTCAAAACGCTTCTTAAAGCCTTTGGCACAAAACCTAGAAGACACAGTAAAACGTTCCAGGATCTTTACTTAACAATTCCCACTGTCATATGACCGAAAATATTTATATATTTAAATGTAATGTCGCGGAGACATTCGGAAATCTGTTTTGCAGCGAGCGAGGGCGTGTGCGCAAGCGGGTGGGTTTTGTTTATGTATTTATAAAGCAAGCTAGAAATAGCATGACGTTTTCTGTCAGATGTAGCACACGAGGTAAAATAATATCCATGATGACTATACTGTTACTTTATGCATCTATCCCTCCTTAAATCGAACTTCGTTAAAATGTTTACAGTTAAAATAAACTACGTGAAACCGACGCACGATTTCCACCTGTGTTCCCCCTCTGCCTTGACCCGCCTCGCTTCCCACTTTATGGCCGCCGTAATGGTAACAGCGCTGTGCCTTACGTAAAGTGCTGGGTATTTTTAGCTCTTTTGCTCATTTTTTATTTTCATTTAAAGGTTAATGACGTTGCTCTTTCATCTTCGTTTTAGAGTATTGTTTTCTCCATTTTTTTTTATATTTCCCCCTTTTTTTCTGTTACCGCAACTCCCCCCCTCCTTCTTCCTCTATTGCACTCTTCCTCATCTCCCTCCCCCTCCACTCTCAATCTCCTGTGTGACACTACCTGGCATGAACACACTACCTTAACACAATCGCGTGACTTGGCTTCATGACAGATCCCCTCACCCTCCCTCATTTCCCCTCCCTCACATACCAACACATACCTGAGGGTGGTGGTTCTTGTGGTGTGTGTGTGGGGGGGGGGAGGGGTGCGGGTTCTGAGGTGCTGATTGCGCTTCGTTATTCTCATTTCATCAGGTTACATTCTTATGTTTTGGTGCTGTCACAGACACTGTGTTTAGCTCTGCAATACCTGTGCATTTGTGATTGACATTGACTGACAACTTCATTAGCAATATTATCACTGGTGTTCTTTTAACATATATAAATATATATGTAAACACAAACGCACACATACATGTATCTATATACTTATATACATTAAATATAAGATATTTATGGACTGATAATATACATATATATACACATACATACATACATACATATATATATATATATATATATATATATATATATATATATATATATATATATATATATATATACTTATATTTATACTCACATACCAGCACACATATATTTTATATATTTATCTATCAATCTATCTATTCATTTATATTTATATCTATACATAAATATACACAGATATATAGGTAGATAGAGAGATTAAGAGATAAATGAATATATTGATAAATGGATAGTTACATATAGATATAGATTCAGATATGTGTACACACATCCTATATATAGGTAAATATATAGATGGATAGACAGGTAGGTAGGTGGGTAGATTAACAGAATGATATTCATATTTTTTGTGTGACATTACAATTAATCAACACATAACATCTAGGCCTATACATAATTTTCCAAGACACCTTCACAGACCCCTTTGGTTTTCTCCTTCCGACCATCTCAAGTCTGGCAATAACTGCCTCCAATCCCACCCCTCCCCGCCCGAGCACAAAATGAGCATGACGTACCTATTTTCCCGAGGCAGGCGCAGAAGATCCAGAGGCCGATGATGAAGGGCGTCTGGACCCTCTCGAAGTCGATCACGGCCACGGGGTACCTCTCCAACTTCCCTTCGTGCCCTCCGCCCCCGTGGTCAGAGTGGTGCGTCGCATTCACGGAATGGCTTGTGACATCCGCTCCCTTGGACATGGGGTGGGTGGGCAAGGTGGTGGCAATGTGGGCTGACTCCGTGGGCGTGTTGGCCGAGACCAACACGAGGACGAGAGCCATTACCCCTAGCGTGAGCAAGAACCGCGCCATCGTATTATCAATTGGTCAACTATTCCTCAAGTTCAAGGGACTACAAGCTCGAGGGAGAGATGGAAGAAGTCGCTGCTGTGCGCTCACTAGATGACTCTTTGTTTTAAAGAACGAGGGAGACAAATATAATAAATTTGAAGTCTCACTCAAGCCGCTCCCACGTTTCGTGATTTCTCTCTGACACCAACACTGCGAGACGGAAAGTTGCACCTTTTCACTACGACTCGAAAAGAATCTTTAAAAGTAACACAGCTTTTAAGCAACGAATTGAGTTTGTTCGTTCCCGAGCTAAGGGGCAAAGGGAGTGCGGTTGCGTGCAAAGACAACGCAAGGGGGCCGGTGGCAGCGAGAGGTGACGGCGTGAGGGAGTGAGTAGCGTTAGGTGAGAGAGCGCCTCATGGTGGTTCCTCCAGCGCGACCAACAGCTG